TGGAGGAGGATGTCGTCCAACCGCTGCTGGTGACAACAAGCGCCATCGAACTTTCCACTGAAACCGTCTGCTTGCTCCTGAAGATCGACGACTATGTGCAAGCCCGGTGATAGCAGACATGACGCAAATCTTGAAGCTGTTGCAAAGTAAACATCTGTTACTTAGAGTAATTCTAAAAGCGATGGAAGTCAATGAGTTGCGTCTGAGCTTTCTGCCTTGCTACTCATTGAAGGTACGTGTGTCATCTTGCCGAGGAGAGTTCATTGTTTGCATTGAAGTCGAGGACTTATGTTACATATGCCTACTAGTATGTTGTCTATGTTATGGGAAGTGGGTAATAAAAAAAATAACACGGACACTGTAGATGGCAACATTAATATCGTTCGTCCTTTTTCGAAGGGGGTAAATCGTCGATGTAGTGGGCAGTCAGGTCGAACAGAGTCCAAAGCAGACCGTGGGTTGTGATGCTCCGAAGGGCACTCACCCCCAAACCCCGATAGATACGTGCAATGCCAGCCAGCAGCGGTTTCGGGGCGTTTGGATCAGGACCTACAAAGGCAAATTCATACCCAGCGGTTCAAGAGACTCAGGACGACTTACCTCGCACCAAGCGATATAGCGTTTCCCATGGACCACGATACCTCTCTCCAGCCAACGCTCTGTTTTGAACTTTCGTCTTGACGCTGGGCAAGATAATCAAACCTTAATTCTAACAGAAGAAAAGGCGAGGCGGTCGCTTACACGTCGAGGGGGTAAATAAGTGCCCATGAAGTTACCTGCGAGGGTCGAGATATTCAGAGAACGACAGTGTGCAAAAGAGGGCGCCTATACCCCAGACAATGAACCGCAGACAAAAGGGACGAGGGATGGGTGAATGGGAAGCCAATGGGGCGTTGCACCCTGCTCTCCTGACCGCTGTCTTCCTAAAAGATGTCGCATTCCATCGTATTCTAGGAAATAGAGTGCGGTTCCAGCGGTATCACGGACTGAAATGATAGGGATCAGTTCGTAGTTCAAATGTATCACAAATGCGTATCGAACAAACCGAAATGCAAACGGAACCCGGTATACAGCCCTCCAAACCCATTGTTCCGATAGATATCCTTCACCGCTTCCAAAGTGCCAGGAGGTTTGGCCAGAGCGACGCCTTTGGTCGCAGCAATGCTATATTCTAGCTGGCGGCGGACCTGAGCTATTGTCAGCTTCGAAGTCCACAGGCGTGATTACAGAGAATCACTCGCCTTGACAAGCTCAAAGGCTGATTAAATGGACGGTTTGAGGACCCCATAAAGCATATAGCAGAAATTTTGACGTACGAGCACTACAGAACGAAATGAGAGCTCCTGACATTGCTCCGCTAATTCCTCCTGTGAGCGAGACGTCGATAATGCTATCGCGGTAGAGGATATTGTGTAGGGCGAAGTATTCCTTCGTTCGTGAATAGATAGTGAAGCTTGCAGCACCTGGCATGCCGCTGTAGGCATATTCTCAACTCGTCGGACGGAGGCGAAGCACTCACGGACGAAGGAGATCGTCATCAACGGAATCCATAATCCCCGATAGAAGCCCATAATTCCTTCCTCACGGTAGACGAGAGCAGCAAGCCTAGGAACGGTGATCTTCGTCTTCGTGGTCTGTAGCCTGGATTTGATGGAGTCCAACTAGGTAATGTTTCAGCTACATGCTCGGCGGGTTGCTTGTGGTGACTGACGGGGTATCCAGCGAAGGTAGAGACATAGCTGGCCGAGAGTGCACAGACGACAGCCTTGTTGCCTGCAGTGGAAGGATGAGGTGTCGTTTCGATCAACGAGAAAGCTGGAGCGACGTACGCCGTAGGAAGTCATTGTATTTTTCTGGGTCATACACAGGATTAGGCGTCCTGGGGCAAGGGAACGTCAGAATGCTTCCCTGTGGATGATTCTGAAACTGGCATTATGGCCGCACATACCATTTTCCATCCATAGAGCAGGTAGTTGGGCTGGCCCAAAGTCCAGCTTCGTGCTCTTGCACGACGCAGTGATATTCTTTTCAGCCCGGAAGACGAGGATTCTTGAGGAAGATGTACGTTGAAAAATTAGATTCTTGAGACGCCGGAACCCGACAAGGTGAGGCACGGGCATTCCCAAAGTCACGCGAATATCACTTGACCGAATATCTGAAGAATTATGGTGTCAAGCAAGACATTGCATTGATGGTGCACTACAGTATAAATAGCTCATAGATATCCCATCCCTGCTTCATTCAAAATCCTCCTAAACGTCTTTTGGTTGGTTTCTTCTTCGCTGCTGGCCGCCCGCCGTAAGGACCTGGTAAAACTTGAGTAGACATGAGGAGCTCCTGCGAGCTGCCTAATTGTTCACTTCGAGGAAAAGAATCAGGGTAGTTCGTGAACAAATCCTGAGATTGTGTTTTCAATTTTCGGGATATGTCGGGAATCACAGCCGGCGGAAGGGTAACCGATGCCAAGATGGGCGGAGGGCGCTTGCTATGGGCAGTAAAATCAGTCCCCGGAGTTGTCTCAACGCGCTTCGGCGAATCCACAGTCGCAGATTCGTCGTATGGATCTCTGTACACAAACTCGTCTGGATCGCCGGCGTCCCAGATTTGTAGAAGAAGTCTGACACCCATGGGCAGGTTCAAGGATGGTTCAGTCATCTTCTGTGGGTCGACATCGTTCATCTTGTAGGGATTGTAATGCGAACGTCTTTCCATAGGCTTCAGGAATCCAAATTCGACAGGAGGCGGTTCATCCCCCAGCGACAACGCTTCGGTCATGTTTTCGAGAGTCTGTTCGACCCCATGTGGTTTAGTAAACCATGCTTCAGAGTAGACGTCCGAAGAGAGGGTGAGATCGAGCGCTAACTGGCGGCAAGCATTAATTTCACGATCCCTGGTAGGTGTACCTTCGCTTTCGGACAAGTTAAAGGCCTCTAGGTGTTCAGTCAACTCGTCAGTATCCGAATGAAAATCCCTGTCAAGCCGCTGGATTGTTGGAGTTAAAGAAAGTTGCCACGGCGCTTTCACCATCTGAGCAGCGAAACGGCCTTCTTTCAATGCATTGAAGCCCCTGGTTGAGTTAACATTATTTTCCGTCAGAAAGTCGGTTCGGCTGTATATATAGGGCTCATCGCCAGCACACAACGTGATGTCAGAGCTAGAAGAGAACGCTCTTGTCGATGAGCAAGTGTGATACATTTCCTGAAAGACTTACGTTGTTAACATATACTCGATTGGTATTTCCCTCGTTTGCAGATACAACGGAAAGTGCTCGATCATTTGATGAAATGACTTTGCAGATCGGTCTTCAAATGCTTTCTTGTCATCGAAATAGCTGCGAAAAAGACCTAGTTGTTGGGAAACAACATGTCAACAGAAGCGCCGTGGAAGGGACCAAGCTCAACCCACGTTCATACACGGACCCCATATCAACTTGACTAAAATCTTGGCGATCCAAAGGGCCCATATCAGGTTGTAGTTTTGCATTCTTCTTCGATAATTCTTTCACGCTGAGCGACATCTCGACATCGAACTCCTTCTCTAACGATGACGAGTGCAAGAGTTCGTCGTAGGTGACACCTCCCCTCTCAGATAAACGCACAATGCCGCCACCATCGTCGCGGAAGAAGATTTTTTGCCCAATTCGTTTGTCATACAAGCCAAAGTGTGGGGATGGCATGTAGGGTCCGCTTCCGAACTGAAGAAATCCTTCTCGAGACGAAGAAACGTCGTATAAGGTCACCATGGAAGACCTCCGTGAAGTCAAAAAGGTAAGGGCTTGGAGGATAATGCCAGTTGGAAGCAATGTCAGATGTAATAAGGCACTCACTGTGGCCCTCCGGAAACGTAAGGGAAGTCGTCGCAAGGCACTGGTCATACTCTCTCCCATGAGCGTACACGAGCAAAGGCTTTCTTAGGTATCTTGGATCCAGCCAGATAATCTGTTTTGTAGAGCATAGCCGAATGAGATAGTCCTGACCAGTATCCTCTATCGAAGTTAGCACATCCGTGGAGGAGGATATACTAAAGCGATTGGTTGCGGTTCGCGTCTATGAGGGCACGTTTAGAGGCATCCAAAAATTATCTACAGTATGGCTCACCCGACTATCTAACTGTCTGACTCCTTTATGGGACAGTAAAAAAAATTGGCAAGGATGCACGTCGAGAGCAAGGCGCCACAAGTCTGATTCGTAATTTGAAAGCATTTGACTGTCGCAAATCGGTGTACTGGGTCAGGGATTAGACTATTGCTAGCACAGGTCATCCGAAAAGGATGTCACCTACGAGGTCGTCGCCTGACCCGTGGTATCATATTGAAATACGGAGCCCTTGCTCCCCGCTACCAATATTCCGGACGACGATCCAAGATGCTTCATGTCGACTATGGGTTCGTGGTGCAGGTCTGCATAAGAAAGAGTGGCAAGTTCTTTGACATCCAATCTCCCAGCGATGTACTCCTTCATTCCAAGCAGTTGAATAGATCCATATGTACGAACACAAACGCAACCACCTAGAGAATTTTAGACAGCTTAAACTTTCGAGCACTCCTAACGGCTTACCGTCTGAATAATTGACCCCAGGTGGGGATATAATTAATTGTTGTATTGGCGTGGAAAACGAATGCGACGGGGTAGCGGAAGGTTTGAATGCGATCTGAGAGCCATCAGACCGCATTGAACAAGAGGCTAGGATCTTCAGTTCCGTTCAATGACTACAGGGGAATGAATGGCTTACTGAGGTCACGGCCCGTTTCGCCAGTCGGAAATATGAAGAACGAGTTGCCAGTCGCTCCATGGCTTTCATATAACTCCAGAAGATTTCCCAAGTAAGGATCGAACTTTTCAAGATCACGAGAACGCATCGTATCTTCCACAACTTGCTCACGAATGAGTTCAGATGTTATGTCGAGGTCTGGGAAAAAGGTGCGCAAAAAGTTAGCCTAGAAGGGCGGTCAGCAAGGAGGCTTCGTTCGAGATGAAGGGAGAAATAATCACTCCTTGTTCTGCCTTTTGCTTAATTGTTGTGCGAAGGGGTTCCAGGGGAGCTGGACGGATAGGAGGGAAGACCTCGACACGCTTTCCAAACTTCAAATGGTCATCGCGGCTGCCTAGTTCTTGTGAGAAAAGATATATGGCACACGAGAAATAAACGAACCTCCTTCGCTTGAAGAAGGTTCAGCGAGGAACTTCCACTCTAAACAACGTCTACTGTCTTCTGATAGCTGCGCTGCACCAATTAGTCCTGGCTCTAAGTAAGGGTAGTGCCGATTCTGTTCTTCAGTCACTCCATGGCGCTTAGAGGAGGCTTTTTTCTCTGGTCGTTCATCTCTCGGCCAGAAAGCCATTCCATTGAAGAATTGAAGAAGGGGGATAGTGGAGGAATAAATTGAGGTTGAAGGTTGGTGGGATATCAGAGCTAAAGCGGCGAAGCAAATTAGAAGTCCGACAGTCACTCTCTCCCATTTACCTCGACACTTCCTTCGGCGCTCATGCTCGGGATCCGTGCGGCGTGCCCATATAGACAGCTTACATTTTACCAGCTACGGCGGTTCCACGCGTCTAGCATCGTGAAACAGGTTTCTGCGAGTCCCAACAGTACTTCGCCAACACAAGATTCGGAACCCAAGGGATTGGCCGCGCCTCGCAAATGGACGCCGAATTCGATTCGGACCGGGCTCATTGCTCGTAAACGGGGAATGACAGCACTCTGGAACGACCAAGGTGTCCGCATACCTGTCACTGTGTTGCAGGTGAGCACCCAGTCTTCATCCGAGCCGTCATTCGATTCAACTAGTGGCCTACAGCTCGAAAATTGTCAAGTGACCGCAAACATCCGGACTATACGAAGAAACCGCACTGTGTATCATGCCGTCCAAGTAGCTGCTTCCGATCGTCCCGCAAAGACAACTACACGGCAAATGTTGGGCCATTTTGCAAGAGCCGGTGTCCCACCTAAACGAATAGTGAAGGAGTTCCCTGTGACACCCGACGCGCATATCCCAGTCGGTGAGCTTCAAATGAGGCCCGGGAACTTGGCAGTGCATATTTATCGCTTACCCTGTAAAGGAACGACATTCTCTGCCATTCATTTCGTACCCGGCCAGATGGTGGATGTCGTCGCAAACTCGTGAGTTACCCATAACTATTATCTCCGATAATACAGCTAATTCACTCATTCAGCATCGGAAAGGGCTTCCAGGGTGGTATGAAGCGCTGGGGCTTCCATGGTCTTGCGGCCAGCCATGGTGTTTCAATCTCGCATCGTTCTTCAGGCTCTACTGGTCAACATCAGGTAATTGGATCCTTTCCTTCACTCGAAAATGTCTCGAGCTTCTTGCCTTCAGGATCCTGGGAGGGTTTTCCCAGGCAAGAAAATGGCTGGCCGGATGGGCAACGTGCGCATTACCACCCAGAATCTGCCGGTTGTTCGTGTCGACACGTCGCTGAACCTCATCTTCGTGAAAGGGGCCGTTCCTGGAGTGGACAACGCCCATATTCTTGTTCGCGACGCTAAGAAAATCACTGCCGTTGGTGCTCACAACCAGGCGAAGGGTCTATATGAGAAGGTCCTTCCGAAAGGCGTGGACGATCTTCCCTTCCCTGCTGGAACTGAGGAGCTGGCCAAGTCACTACCTCCGGTAATTGAGGCACCATCCTACCGCAGGAGTCCTTTCGTTCCCATTGAGTAATTGTAGACAATATAATAATACATAGCTAGTAATGGGATTGTGTGTCGCGGTCTAAATGTGCTAGTGTGCTGTTGGGTTTGGGCCGCTGTGTGACTTGGCTGAAGGGGTCTTGCCAATATGGAGATGACTTGCAAGTCTATGGCTTGATATCCAGCAATTTCTCCAAGTCAAAGGGAGGTACAATCTACAACAGCCATACGACATCAGCTCGCATTAGAACAAGGAATCAAGATGAAAATGTGACCCACCTCCGTTTCACCTTCTCCCGCAGCACTCTTGCCGCTCTTGGGCGGCAGAACAGCACCAGGCCTCGCTTTCACTCCATGTTGGTGTGCATAGTGCCATAATAGATGCGTGTGCCGAGTTATCAGCTCCAGAGAGGATACCAAAGGTTGCCCTGTGCTTCCTAGTCAAGCACTATCAGCAGCGTACGGCAAAGAAAATCCTCAAAAGCTCACTCAAGATAGCGCGGTCGATCTGATCAGCAACAGCCTCCCGTCGTTCCATCGATAGATACTTCGCTACGGCACTCTTCTCTGGGAATTCGTATGCCAACAATCCACTCACATTCTCGACTTCCTTCACATAGGTAGCGCGTTCCTGCGGGTTGGACAGTGTATTGCAGAAAGCATATAACTTCCGCGCTCGAGTGATCAAAGCCTCCTGCCCAGGCGACTCCTCGAGCTTAGGTATCATTACCGGAGATGCAGGGTCACTGGAAGGGTCCACTGTGCCCAACTTGGGGGGGTAATCGAGTGGTACCGTTCTGCAGGCTTCACTGAAGGCGAGAATGCGTAAGTTCAGCAAGAGATGTGCAGGCTCCGTCGAGGTAGATGATACATATTCCACACTATCGCTGCCCGAGGAACTTGAGTGTTCCTTCTGCTGAGGGGAGGGAATGATGTTCTCCGCTAGAACTGAGGGGAAGTGCGTGTTCAACAAAGCAATCGCATCGTCTACTCGACCAGAGAGAATTCGCTCCCTTATTTCTGAAAGGCCCAATCATCGTTACGGCCTCGGATTAAAAAGAGGAGATAGAGGACACACCTTGACGGAGCTTGATCTGTCTGAGCAGAGTCTCAAAGCTCTCAGGGAGGGCATTGCCACTTTCTTCCGAATCGGCATCTACGAGGATTTCGTCTCCATCGGCGTCAAGCTGTCGAATGGGATTGTCCCTCCTTAACGCTGCCGCGGTGCGGGTGTAGCAGCAATGACACAAGTAATCTAGAACGAGGGTGTGCTGCGTGTGAGAATCGTCAGCAGTGCTTTGACAAAGGTAGAGAAAGGGAAAGCTAACGAGCTGATAAGGCGCAGGGCTTGAAAGCAATGGCTTACTTGAGCCGGACATTTCTTCAAGGGCCTCTGGTGGTATGGAGCAGGGCAGGAACGGTGGGCGGACGTATGAAGGTCCATAAGTACTCAGGTAGCGGCTGTAAACGCCGGACGGTGGGGAGAAATCCAAAGGCCAAATCCGCGAACCCCACGTGGGAGATATAAATTATGCAGTTATGCGCGTTCAATAGGTACTAGGTAGTACTAAGTAGTAGTATATGCGACGTGCAGCCAGTCCAAGATCATCTACAATTGGGAGACTCTGAAGAGGTGCTCAGTCCTGGAGCAATGATCGGAGCACGAGGCTTCTATCTCAAAGCAAAACAGCCCAGTACACAGCAAGGCTCTCGTCTCAACTAGATACATCACCTAGCCCACAGCCCGTGTGCGAGAAGTCCGACCTCTGTTCAAAATCGCGGAGTCTCCTGGTGGGTGAGCCGAAAGAGCGTCGCCTGAAAGAAGGCCTGACTCCTCCTCGTCTGGCACTCTACTATAGGCCATCGTTGCATGGCGTCGGTGTCGAGACCGATAGCAGAACGATTGCCCCACAATAGTTATATCAAAGATTAGTGTTCCTCCACTACCGAGGAGATATCTGAGATAATCGGTCAGCTACTTTCGCATCGAAGGAGTGGAAAGGGATACAACTGACGGTATACTCTCTTTGAGGTATTTGGCTGATTCGGGGGGTGGAAGAAAGCGCCTCGGAGATGCAAGAATGGACGCAACATAGAAGACGTTGCCCAAAAATGCGAACACAAATAGATACATGGAGAGACCCTGCCGAAGTTAGTCAGTAATCGTAACAGAGCGAAACGGAGCAAGGATATGCGCACCTCTACCGATTTTCTAACATACTGTTGGGAATTATCAGTTGCTGTCTGCAGCAGTGAGAAAGGACGTACATTCTTCCAAATTTGTGGTAGTCGGGATGTGAGATACAGAGTAGTACATAGCCAGGCAAATAGTCGACCCAGGACTTGTTCTGGAGAAGGGTCGTCAGGATGGGGCTCATGGTTCGGAACATCCTCTCCGCGGGCATGGACGTCGAGGGGGGTTAAACCGATTTCGAGATCATCAAAGTCTTGAAGACCGGCATCGCGAGAATGGACTTGGGCCTCTATTGGGGGGGTGGAAATAGGCACATCCAAATGATGTCCATTTATCGAAAGAACACGTCCAACATTCATTAAGCTGGTTGAAGGCATATTCTGCCGACCTGCCAGCGTTCCGATGCCGAAAAGGGCCCATACGGCCAAGAAGACCATGTTTGATCCTCGCCGACTTGCTCGGGACCCTCGTAGAGCGGAAAGAGACTCTGTCGACTCAGCGATATGGCTGGGGTCTCGTTGCAGCGAGCCTGGGCTCATAAGAGACGTTAAGGACTCGTCGGGAAGTAGGTTCATAGTAGGCGTCGTTGGTCCAAGGGCGCGTCCAACGCTCGCCGCTCTGCCCCCGTGTCGTTCGATGCTCCAAGAAACCTGTTTTGATGTCGTGGTTCTGCCGCCCTCAGAATGGAAACTATCCACCATCGTCGTTGGCAAATCCTCATCTTCATCTTCGCCTGTTGGTCGCGGTGTACGACCCTCTGATCCCTCGTACGCTCGCCGTCGACCGGGTTTATGCGCGAATCGCGGAGTTCGCTGGGTATCAGCCTGTTCCTCTTGTTGTGCAGCCAGAGCAGCCGCAGCAGCCATATTAGATGCAACGGCAGACAACGTGCGATATCTTGACGCGCCTCTATCGACGGAAAGTCGACGAGCGGAGACTGGGGCTGTCGCCGAACGGATGTGGTGGATGGATGGGAGATGTTTTGGAGTTTTGTAGTAGTAGAAATATTGCGCGACCAACATGCAATCTACGCATACGAAGTAAGTTGCTAGCCATGTCTAGTGAATTGGTCAGTTCCAAAGTAGGACAGGTGGATCGTTGGGAGGGCACCTGGAAGGGAAGCTGATGTGTCAGTATACAACCAACAAGGTTGGATATGTCGCCTGGTATATGGCGGATCAACACTGCGATAAGGACATATGTGGTGTAAATGGCGCACCGAGAAGCCAGTTGGCGAGGAACGGCAAGGCCAGACCTTCACACGACTGCCGTCTTATGTTTTCGACGACCTGGCTAAAAATTGGATTAGGCAAGGCAAGGTGAATTATCGTATTTGCAGCTCACGGAAACTGGGCACCTAGCCAGCAGCCTATCGAGGTGAAACCCAGCAGGTCGCTGGGGGAGATGTTTTCCAGCATGGTGTGTGGGGAAGAGCCGAGTTAGAGGGACGGGACTTAGCCCAATCGCCTATTTCGGGTTATCACCATCGGTCCGACCAACCCGGATCCCTCTTATCGTCCAACCGCTTCGTACGGGCTAGAAACATCCTATGACATAGGTCACAATAATGTGCGGGATGAATGTATTTTGGTCCGTGGCGACTGCGCTGGGCGTAAGTCTTGACAGACAAGCAAGGAAATTGCTTGTCTCGTGACAGCATCAAGGTTGTCGACGCGACTGATGCTCTGAAGCTAACTATAACTACAACTACCATGTCCTCTCGGGCAGGCCAGAAACGCGCAGCCGTCCAAAATGCAGAATCTTCTTCTTCATCATCATTACCCACGCAGCACAAATCCAAGAAGACACGTTTCGTGGAACCAGCCGAGGATCCATCCGTGTTTGAAGAGCAGGTGGACTCAGCACTCGAAGGCCCATCGCGGAAAGGAAAGGTCAAGACAGACGGCTACGACTCTGACTCTACCGATGATGGAGAGGGCGTCGTCTCCAGCCGAAAGAAAGGAAAAGATGAGGATGAGGATGTCGATGATATGTTCGCGACTGGGGAAACGGAAGAGAAGGAGGAGACAAATGCAAAGAAGGGCGACAAGTACATGCGACTCGCCGACATCGAGGGCCAGGAATTCGGCAATGGGTCACAATCTGGCAGCGAGTCCGAAGGATCAGACGAACCAGAAGACGAGGACGATGCTGAACGACGTAAGAAGGCTGGTATGGGCTATGAAATCTCATCGTTCAACATGCGGGAAGAGATGGAGGAGGGTAAGTTCACGGAAGACGGTAGCTACGTGAGGTCATTCGATCCGCACGGCGTCCACGACCGTTGGATGGAGGATCTCGATGAGAGGGAGATCAAACTCGCCAGACGTCGGAAACGAGAGCAAGACAGGAAGCAGAAGGAAAGAATGCAGGCTGAAGAAAAGGAGCTCGAAGAAAGCGGTGGCAAGAGCTCCATGGAACGCGATCTTTTGGCCAAGCTGAAGAAGGGTGAAACTGTGTTGGAGGCTCTCCAAAGGCTAGGTTCTCTCACCAAAAAGAAGCAATCAAGCAATAAGTATGTTCGTGTACGTTCTATTCTGAATGCTCCTTATGTTTCTTATACAGAACAAAATACAAATCGGCGGAGGATGACAAGATGCTGGTCGACAAACACCCCGTCAAAGCTCCGAACGATGTTGAATACATCACTCATCTGGCGTCCAACCTCATGTCTCTTGGTGACACCGATATTTACAACAAAACCTACGAAGAACTAGTGCGAAGCGTCCGCGCCTCTGGAATTGTGGATGTAAATTGGGAAGCGCCTTCCGCCGACATAAGATACGAATTCAAATGGAGTGCACCTGAAGCAGGCTCGACAGGCGAGATCTTTGGTCCGTTCGGAGAGGAAGAGCTCAAATCGTGGTTTAATGCTTCATACTTTGGTGCGAACGGGGAAAAGGTGAAGGTTCGGCAAGTGGGGGTGGGGGTGAGTTCAGAATGGGGCAACTGGGAAGATATTGTTCAATAAACGTTTCCATCTTGCTGGCTGTCCACATATGAAGTTCTGTTGTATAATGCTGTCCATGGAATTATTTGTATGTATGTAACTGTGAACTTGTGCAATTCCGCCCTCCTGAACCAATTAGTTCAAACCAGGAATCGAACAAGCAATTTAATGGCTGATATACTGAAAGACGAAGGACACCTCGGGCTGTCCCACTTCGGCTCGCAGAATGTCGTCGTGGTTGTTCTTTAATTCAGAATTTGTGAAGTGGTTCCATCTGTAGGAGACACCTCGCTCAGCTCGCAGTTTACCCAAGAATAATTTAACTTACGTGCTTGCATCACCGTACAAGAGCGCAGGTGATTTGACTAGTTGCTTTCCGTCCTTACACCTCTTGCACTTGAAGGTGTCATGAGTGTCGCAAATGGTGTTCTCGTTGAATTTAAATAGTTGTCGCAGGGAATCAATAGAGAAATGCCGCTCGGTATCCTCTTTCTCGTCTACAACGGCGGAGGAGAGCGCTTGTTTGTTGGCTTGCCTCTGGAAAATCTTCTCTTCAATAGTACCAGTGGAAATGAAGCGGTAGACGAAGCCTGAATGCATTCAGAATTAGTTGCCCATAAAAGCAGTGAACGGGAAGACGTTGCCTTACATTCTTTCTTTTGCCCATCACGCCAGACTCGGGCCAACGCCTGCTGGTCTGCGGCTGGGTTCCAATCTATGACGAACTAATAAGGATGGCGACAGAGAGTAAGAAAGGGCATCTCGTACCGGGATCGAATAAAACTAATCGATTCGCACCGATTAAGTTGATACCACATCCTCCAGCTTTGCTACTCAGCAAGAAAATAAATTCCTTGCCGTTGGGATCATTGAACTGGTCAACTAATTTCTGACGCTTCGTGATGGTCATCGTTCCGTCCAGTCTGAAAAATCCGTATCTGAAGAGAAAGGTAAATAAACTTCCCGCTCCAAGTTCAACTACCATACTTTTTACTGCGACAGAGTTTCTCGAATAAATCCAAAGTTTGGGTATAATTGCTAATCAGGACAATCTTGTCATCGGTCTTCGTGTGGATGTGATGTAAGAATCTGTGAATTTGTTAGGATATGCTGCAAGGAGGGATATACTCAGTCATGTACCTTTCCAACACCAGGAATTTGCCACCCCAGTCACAACGCACGGTCTGGTTGCGGCCCTTGCCTTCATTTCCTTTAGGTCCCTGGAAGCCTTCCGGGATAAGGTGGTCGCAGCCTGTCAGGTCTCCAGGAAGATCGAGAAGTTCAGGATGATTGCAGAGTTTCTTTAGAATATTTATGGCTTTCAGAGGCTGAGAATCCTGCCCTCGGAGCAACCTCTGGATTTCAGGCGAGGTGATGAAGAGACGATACAAGGCAAGTTGGAAATCGGAAAGTCCGCAGAATACGACCTGTTCATACTTGACCGGTACTGGCATGAATAACGCAGGCTCAGTGTAAAACAAAAGAAAAAGTGGAGAAAAACTGACGATATTTGGATAGCAGGTCATTAGTCCTACGGATGATGAATTTTGTGACCAGTGCGCCGAGCTCCTTCAATTTCTTTTCACATTCTGCTTTAGTCGCGTCACTGGCCATGGAGTCCCGTCCCCGAATGATCGCATTCTCGTAGTTCTTCCTGAAGTCGTTCTTGGATCCAAGGAAGTTAGGATTCGCAAAATTCAGCAAGGAGAAATACTCTGAAAGATCGTTCTGAAGAACAGGAGATGTCAGAGCCTTGGCTCTCATTTTCAAGAAGTATTGCCCAAACCTGGATGGGAGTACCAGTCAGGATAACCCGGCGAGAGACATTGAGACTATTCAGCGCTTGGAATGTGAGAGATTCTATAGGTAGATCTGTGGTTAGAACCGCTTACTTCGATCAGAAAGAGAAATACATGCCTGAGTTTTTCAATCGGTGGCCCTCGTCGCACAATAATAGTCCGATTTCACAATTGGCGATATACGCCGTCAGCGTCCGAAGCGTCTCATAAGAAACAATCATGACTAGAAGGGTATTTCAGAACGAAGTTCGTGTCCATAAAGGAAGGTACATACCTGGTTGCGTTACATTTCGGCCACGAGCAGCCACCCATCGAGCCACTGCCTCCAACAGATCCGCCTTCGCACCTTTTCCATCAACGGCTAGAGGGGTAATAGCTCCAGGTCCCAACCATTTAACTATAGGATTACTGATCAGTTTTCTGCTTCACTGACTGAAGGGGGTACTGACTTAGCTCATTCGCCCAATTCTTGACCAAACTAGACGGGCAAGCGATGATGCATTTTTCGATGGTGGGTTTCATCGCCCTCGGCGACTGCTTGATAAGTGTCCAAAGAAGCGCAATACACTGCAGAGTCTTTCCGAGACCCATTTCGTCTGCCATGATGCACCCATACTGGTTTTCAACGACCATGCCGGTGGCGCATCTATAAAGAAACTGGATGGAAAGCTGAGATACAATGGCCTTATTGAATGAAAAAAAGCTCACCTTGACACCCTCTACTTGATGGGGACGGAGAACTTTCGAGAGCTTTGGATCTATCACAACAGGAACCTTGGTAACCTTCTTCTTGTCGGCTCCTTCACCAAGCAGGGCCTTGAGGCTCTTATGAGGATTGTATAAGCCCGCCGATTTCTCCTCGGCCTCTTTCATAGCCTTTTCCTTCACCTTCTCTTTTTCTCTTTCCTTTCGCTCCTCGTCCGTTTCTCTATCATCAATGGTCGGGTCGTATAGGACGATGGCGTGGTCTTCCATAGGGTCGTGCAAGGGACGCGGTGTGATCTTCGTCGGTGGTCGTACGCCCAGCGATATATTTGAGGGCAGCAGAGATACTTGTTTTCCGTCTTTACTCTTCATGGATGGGAGGGAGAACCGACGAGACCCAAGCTCGCTAAATGGTTTCACAGCATAGACTGGATACTTCGGAATCGCTGCAAGCAGCTCTTCTTCATTGTGATAGACGCCGTCTTTGTCCATGGCCTTCTTCTGCTTCTTCCTAGAGCGCTCTGCCCCCGAGTCAGAGCCATCGTCTTGCTCCTTATACGACACACGCTTTCGCTTTCGAGGGGGTTGAACATGTTTGGGAGCAGTAGAGGTGGGTGGTTTAAAGGGCTGATTGATGCGGTTGCTATCCTGCAATCTACTTACAGCTTTACCGTCCGATGTTGTTGGTATTCGTCGCAGCATAGAGAGCAAAGGAAGGACAGGTGTTGGTGGCTCAGACTCAGAGAGTGTGATCGCGGCACCCACGGGCCGAATCGAGTCAACGCGTCGCGTTAGAATCACGTGACGGTGACAGCGCGTCCCTATTACTACTAGTTTTGCAGACTCAGAAGAATTATGTATTCAAAGTATGCTCATCAGATAGCAAAACAATGCGACACAGCAACGACAAGGTGCATCACAAAAAATGTCCGCGGCTTACGGTGCATATAGGACGTCACACATGTTGTGACAGGTTATAGGGGCGGGTCAGACTTATAAAGCCTTACATGACAAGCAGCAGGATTGCGTGGACATGGAAGGGTTTTAGTGATCTTATACGAGTACGACAGGCATTCAATCAACATATAAGTCTATGAGAGTATTATGGTGAACATATAAGCTTTGTATGATACTTCTGGGGTCCCAAATGGATTACACGGGCCCTTCTCCGAGTCGATGGCTGACTTCTTCCTTATGTTCTCCTGGTCTCAGCTGGGGAAATTAGAACAACGAAACCTATCACATGAGCACCTCATCCTGCAGGCTGCTATAACACCTCGCTTGTCGACATCATCCCCTGCTCCCGGTGTCAAGCCCTCGTCACCCTTCACGAAGGGAGGGATGTGGATGCAATTGGCAGTTTTCCTTGCCCCCTTCGAGCGTGTCTTCGTGCTAACTCGGTTGTATTCACGCGGAGACACGGCGTCGGCTCTTTGTATGATGTCGGAGTAAGTGTGCGCTCACGATCTCGAGACTTGTGGCTGGACACGAGCATCTTCAATGAATGAAAGTGACGGAGGGAATAAGGTGCTCGCCTAATGCAGGTGGTTGCTGAAGGCAGAGAGGACACCTCGAGTGCTGACCTCGCCCTCCTCGACAGAAAAATATGTACCTCGCCCTCTATTCGATCACTCAATGCCAGCCACGCCATTCCTACAGGGTTGACACAGGTCACCCTAGACACAGTGGGTCCAACGGGCAATGAAAAGGTAAATATATAGAAGACGCTTGCATTACACTTCGTCGTTTATGGACATGAGGGCCTAACGCAGCGGTCATCCCTGCCGACGATAGTCTCCATTGGAGTGTGATGCACAAACCTACGGGTGGCAGATCTCAATAAGAATGAAGGGCAAAATAATTTGAACAACGCACTTATACCGCATACAGATATCCCTCGGTCCTGGGACTATAGTCACTCAATGTATCCGTCCAAGGGATGGGCTTGAAGGTGATGGCCTATGTAAGGAAAGCTGGAACTTCAGGCTCTAGACGTCAGTTTGACCATAGATGCGAAAGCACGCTACACACACTTCCACCTTCATCACCCTCTGAAATCTTTGTGACAAGATATCGGCCTTTCACAGTCAATTCTACCACATCTGATATCTGGAACATCTCAAAAGTATGCCCAAAATGGATCGCGATGTCAGACGATATCGCAAAGAACAAATATGAAAACTCACGGTTCACCTAGAAAAGCTGTCCTGGGTGCGTGCGAGTGCACCACTGGGGTGCACGATCACACTCGCTTCGTACAACGCCAGGACAACGCTATAGGGTGATTTGCCAGATATCTTCAAGTAGCAGGTACCGGTTGAACCAGAGTGAGCAGATCAAGACTCGAGGAAGTGGACTCAGTGTCACCTTAAGTCGAACAACTTTGAATTTCCGATTCGTCGGTGTTGCCATCATGTGACTCAACGCGATCTCGGCAATAGCCGATATAAGAATTAACTCCTGCGTCGCCTTGCTTTCCTTTGTTTCTTCCTCCCACCACGTTCCCGAGTCATGGTTTGTATGACTCTATGAATGTCGGTGCTTCTCCAATATGCCAAATATTTCCACTCACACCCTCTGTCGCGCAGCCCTCGACTGAGTCTCCTTTTGAGGCTGGTGCGGTTGAGTTGACGTCAGCGGTCGCGCGCCAGACAGTGGTAAGAGTCACCTTTCTTACTGGATAAGAGAGTTTTTTGACGTTGGCTTCAGATGAACGACCTGAACGACTTTGCGCCTCGACATGATCATTCACCTAGCTGGGAGAACGAGGTTCGTCGGTCTATGCGCCTGCTCGAATCTAGCTAACAGAAGCCACAGCTTCCCTCAAATATATGCGCGGCCTTTGGTGCAAATGTGCGCATATATTCATCTCCACTTTTACTAATTGACTAACTGTCCCTTCATTAGCAAACGGCGATGGTGTTGTATGCATCGTCAAAGAATTCCCAGCAGACGTCGATGTTTAGCATGACCTGTACGTATCCCGCCTCTGCATATGCCAGCTTCATTTTTTTTCTTGTTGTACGCGCTCGTTTTCTGTGTACTGTCCATTAGTATAGTCAATGGATTGTATTTGAAATCTTTCTTGTGCGTAAACTGCAAGGCAAATGAACAAGCTATCATGATCAGCAACGAATAGGTCCTTGAAAGCCTCCACATCCCTTTTGGGGCTTATAAGGACCAAAACCTATTATAATCGTTGGGCATTCCTATAAGCCCAGGGGGGTTATAAGATCCCAGTTCCTACAAGCCCGAAAAGCCTTACGCGACCGATAGGACTTATAGTGACTTATAGGACACGCCCAACGTGTATATGAAGGGTACGATTCTTCCGATGCTTATAATAGATTATGATGGCGTATAATGACTTTTGACAGCTGATGAGCGGCCCGCATTTTTTGTGATGTGATACATGGGTGGAACTCGTAAGCAGAGAGACGATGGCACTATGGGTGAGATTTGATGTACTGCGTCCACTGAGTGTCGTCAGCAGCCGAAGCTGCATCTGCGTACCCAGAGAAGTTTTCGATGACAACCGGGGCCACCAAGATGGCGTCAGGCTCGCTTAGAAGGGACGACGGCGCATTCAACCTCTGAGATAAAAGGGTGTTGCCCGAGGCACAGAATACAAGTATCTGCGTGCCCGCTATAGACACGAACTGGGGAAACCATGGATCAAGTTGTGCGTTCAGAGAATGGCCAATGTACGCACAATATCTCCGCCTGTGAGACGTTGATGGAAACGACGGAGGTGTTCCTTCTCTTCGCTCGAAGTATCATTGTCTACAACAATTCGGGCCGGCACTCCGGCCATCCTTACTGTACCAAGAAGATTTGTTGCAGCTTGCGTCGAGTAGAACTTTCCCGGCGTTCCATTCGCAACCACCTCAAAATTCGAGCGGTTCGAATCTGGCGAAGCAGCGTGCACAAGAACAGGGATAGAAACGGAAGCGTCGAGATTCAAGTATAAACGAGATGAATTTGTCCTGCCAGTGCGTGGAAGGTCAGACGGCACATGAGAGAATTGAAGGACAAAATACACAAACTTGTCAGCTTGGACGATCGACGGGGCTCCAAGGCTCCTGGAACAATTGTTAGCACTCAAATAGACATGACCCAGAAGAATTAGGAACTCACAGAGGGCCGAAGATTGTTGATTGCTTCCATTTTACGCTCAGAGGCTCAGGAAAATTAGGGGCTTGGGCCGGGAAAAGGTTGTGTTTCGGCATGTCAACGCTGGGAGGTGTTGGATCAGTATATTTAGGGAAGACAATGAGGTGCAGACCTGAAATTATGGGAAGGAATGTCTTGGTCACCAGCGGATTGCTCTTTTTTGTCGGGTGAGGATTCGGTTCCTGACTGCTGCTGGGGTTCGGGAATCATGTCCTCGAAGTCAGGCAACGTCTCTGCAACTTGAGAGTCAAGACCAGCCAATTGAAGCAATTCCCCTCCTGAAGGCGGAGGCTCATTGATGACTCCAACCTCGGGCATGTCATCATCAATTATGATGGGTGAGGCCTCCTCTGCTCTTGGACGTGGGTGGCTGTCTGAATTTACATTCTTCACCTTGACCGTTTTCAACGAACCATTCTCTGCTGTGAGGAGAGAAGTGGTTTTGGGCACCAGGAGTCCAGCAGATGAACGACCTGGGCCGGGCTTCGACCGTTTTGAGGAAACTGAAACAATGGCAGCATGACTAGAAGTAGCTCGCGCAGCTCCACGGGTAGCGCGTGCCTTCGGAGAGAGGGCCCCATCAACCTGCGATATATTCGGGTCCTCAATCATCTTAACGCGAGGATTTGTTGCGCGAGCTCGGTGTGCTGGAACTTTGCTAGCTGGTTCTTCCTGGGGTTCGGAGACAACACCTTGAACACTTTCAGGACCGATAGATGCTTCTATCCGTCTTGAGCTTTGGTTCTCATGACCTACGGCTACAGTCGTTCTACGTTTGTAGCCCGGAGACAATATGTTCAGGAGTGAACTTCCGTTCATTTCTTCGTCAGAATCTGGGATGACCTCTGGAGACGGGGGTCGACGATTCCTTGCTGACTTTCGCGTCGTCGGTGTCGCCATTGACGGTGTCGGGTCAATCTTTGTTGCCACTTCTTCCGTCTTGCGGGGCTGTGAGGGCGGTTCTTCTCCTCGAAGTCGCTTAGACGGACGAGAACTAGAAATCTGGCCTTCCACATTTAGTGATGGATCCCGTCGACGTTTGTCAGAGGTCTTCACGCCCGGATCAGCTTCTGCTTGCGGTGGAGGAGCCGTGGACTGCGGCGCGGACTGTGAGGTCATTTCTTGGACGTTAGTCGTTGACTTGCGTTTTCTCTTTGGTCCTGATCGCAAATGTAAGAGAAGCTGCAACGCTTCGGCTTTATGGTCACGCACTCGGTGGGCCAACATGGCAAAATGCCTCCCCTAGCTTGAATTGCGATAGATCTGAGACGTCTCTGCCGTTGGTATTGGCGCGTTCCCAGAAGGTCGACACGATATTTTCAGATCCTCCGAACGACTCTGCCGGTTCCCAGCTGCGACACAGAGGCATGAGCGTCGTTTTCCAGTCCATACCAACCGCCTACTCACGTATCATCCTGCGGGCCGTATCCCTTCCACTACGAGAATGTCCAAGTATTATGCATCCATATTAATGCTAGTGAATGCTGGATGCTTACCCTTACGCGATATTTCTAGACGGGTTGTGAGAACAGAGTTTACAAAGAAGTAACAGACGTACCCAGATGAGTTTCGGATTCTTCGCTTTCCTGGAAGCTTTCTCCTTCTCTACTTTGGCCTCGACAATTGACTCTGCATAGGTTTCTGTGAGCTTTTGAAAATGAAAATATGCCTCGAACGAACCGACTTCATATTCTTGCTCGCTTTCATCATCGCTCATTGTATAAAACGCGAAAGTTCGACGAAAATGAACGAGAAGTTGCGAAAGGGGTCAGAAGTCTTGAGCAAGGTGCACGATGCCACTGTGGGCAGGATTGTCTGAACCGCGTGGGAAGAACATGTCACGCAAACGCGTCGCGTCGCCCCTGCGTCATCCTGAGCCCAAGCCGCCCAGATGATTCCTGTTGAATGCTGGCCTTGTTTCGAGTCCTTTCCGAAGATTGGGGCCTTCTCCAAGTTAGTGCATCACCGTCAAATATACAAAAATCAATGTTATATTGCGGTATAGCTAGATAATGACTATGTAACAATCAGGACAGCGGACTACGGATACGTACGATGGGTGGTATAATAGAAGATAGATACTGCAGATAAGTATGTACAAGTTATGCTAGATGCTCCCGAACATTCTTTGAGTCATTCCAGCAAGTAGACGATTGGAGAGAAACCCGGCGACGACAGAAAGACACTGGTAGAGTCGGACAATCAAGCTTCCTGAGAATATTCGCCTGCGGTCGTCCAGGTCGGCACAGGGAAATATCGAGACGCTATCAAGCACTCCTTTACCCAACCCCAATCCACAGTGGTGGCAGGCGGCAATTCGGAGACATACTGTTCGGGTTCCCGAATGACGATGTAGTTGTAGTCGTCGAGTTCCTTGGTCGCAAAACGAGGTTCCGTGACACATTCAACGGTCTCCGCGCCCATGGCAAGGATAATCCGCGGGACCACCTTCGCGGTTTCAGCATTGTCCTCTCGCTGGAGACGATGTTAAGTCTCGGACCACAACAAGGATTTAGACACTTACCCGCTTGCCCTTTGGTTGTGGCACCATCTGTGGTCCCACGCAGAGGATGTGCATGTTCGCAAAAAGTTTGGCTGCGATAGGATTGGTCGGGAGTCTCTTAGCAAACTCAACAGATTCTCCCCAGTCGTAGTCGATTTGCTGAGTTATGCGGCCCTTCAAAATGGCTGACCGGCCTTGGGGCAGCAGATAACCTATCCACTCCCTCTCCTGCCCCTACGTAACAGTTAGCTAAATGGAAAGTTTAAATGGCGATGAGCACCTACGTCAGAGACGGTCCCTTGTAACCACGCCGTAGACAAGCAAGGGATGCCCAATGCAATAGCAATCAAAAACTTAGGCTTCTGATTGGGTTCGTCCGCTACAAGGAACAACCGTTCAATGTCATTATCGCCAATCCACGCAACCTCGCTTTGCTCGAAGATGTAGCAGTTGTTCTTGTTGTCGACGAAATGGCCATCCATGCGAATCACGGAGAAGACGTCGTCGATGACAGTCCCTCCGCCGGTCCTGATCGCGTTGTTCACCTTCACCTTCTCTTTCTCCCAAACCTCCTTCTCTGCGTTAAGAGTGACGATGAGACCGGTCTTGGCAAGAACTCTGCCACGAATCCCACGAGCTGGAGCTGTCGTCGCCGCCCTGGCAGCAGGAAGACTAATCATGGATGACTTGGATGGAGATGGACTCAACGGCCTCTTCACGGCTGCAGCACCCATGGAAGGAAGGATAATGTCATCAGGGGTGAGGAGGCGATCATTGAAGTTGTACTCAATTGCCCTGCCCGCAATTTTCAGTTCCTTCATTGGCACATCTCTAGGACTGTCGTCCAATAGGATCCGGATAATGCCATTGTCTGCATTGTCAATGCTGACCACGCGAGTACTCCGATTGGCGGCATTGTGAAGAACTTCATCACCTACGCGTAGTTGGCCGCGGCGCAACTGATCGATGGTCACGGTCCCCAGGGTGCGATCGTCATAGGCAATGACATACTCCGAGTTGCTTGTCTCGGATTGAACAACACCAGGATAGTAGTGGCCATCTATTTTCCACAGTGCGAAAACACGAAACCCCTTTGCACCATTTGCGCGGCTGCTGCCTGTTACGGATCGTAATTTCTTTGCCTGAGTATGAGCAGCAGGTGTTGCGGCAGGGCGTCGACCACGCTTCGATGCTGCTTTGGTCTTCTTCGCAGCAGCTGGTGCCTTCGCGGCAGCTCGTTTGCGCTTGCGAGGAGGTTCATCGGCATCTTCCTCCTGATACTCTTCGTCAGCTGGTTCGGTCCCGTCATCCTTATCGCTCCGCATCAGCGGTTCATCTTCAGAGTCTTCTACGGACGCAGCTTGCTTGCCACGCGAACTGGGAGCCTTGGAAGCTTGCCTGGTCCTAGGAGCGGTCCTCTGTACAACTGCCTTCGGTTTCACACCAGTGACAGTAGTGACTTTGGTGACATGGGCGCCAATTGCATCTTGTTCAGGGACTGAGGAAGGTATTTCCGATGTTTCCCAAGATCGGCCTGCGTTCCTGGACGTGGTAGGCAGAGCAGACGCTTTCTGGGTTGCTTTAACGGCAGGCTTTTTTCCGACGGGTGCTGCAGTAGCCTTACCCTGTTTCCGTAAGGGTGGAGAGTCAGATCAAAACAAACGCAGAAAGAAAAGAAAATACCTTCGCAGCAAACTTGGTGGGGGCTGAGGTTTCTTCTTCTTCTTCACCTGCCTCGACGGCCTTGCCTTTTCCTTTATTTTGGGTGCGTCTGGCAGACGCAGCTGCTCTGGTACGCTTGCCTGTGACAGCGGCCAACGGAATGTCCTCCTCCTCCTCCTCCTCCTCCTCCTCCTCTTCCTGGAGAAGGGCTTCCTTCTCAGCCGAATGACTTATCACAACGTCTTCGTCCTGGTTAACTTTGCAATTCTTGGGCTGGGCTACAGTCGGGGTACGTGAGGCCTTAGGCAGTGGGACAACCGGTCTCCTTTGGTTCCTGGTATATTCTGGTGCCATGGGCTCAGAATCAGGGACTACCTCTATGTCAGCTGAAGGCGACTTCGGCGCCGGTCGGTCGAGTGGATTGGAAGGATTTGGAGGTGTTGGAAGCGACCGCGACGGCGTAGGAATCTCCGAGGGCTGGGTCTCAGGACCCAGCGACGGCGGCGGCGGCGTTCGTGGCACCGCAGGTCTTTCCACGTTTCGAGTAGTCGGTTGGGCTGGTGCTGGTATGTCATATTTCGAATACCGATACCGATGTGCTGGATTAACCATTGACATTAAGGACCTTGAGCCTGAAGGGGCAGCAGAGGAAGCCCCAGTGACCGTAGTAAAGACGCTAGCTAGATTGGAGGGTTGATTGCCAAAGCTCCATGGGGTCGCGCCAGTCGATGGGACATTCATGTTCGAATCGTCGACTTGAGTCGACGGCTGTGTTGGTTCAGGGTCAGGCTCGGGGTCGCGTTCACCATCCAAGAGCCTCCTGTAGCTTGAGCCTGGTTGACTGCTTTCGTATCCGCTTCCGTCACCGCCATCCTTGTCGACTAGCATGCTGTTGTTTCCTGCTTGGTTCTCGGGCTCATCGAGGAGCTGAGTGGCCTCGTCAAATCGTTGAAAGAGCTCTCGAGGATCGTCTTGAGAGTGGTCACTGCCAGAATGCGAGGGAGTAGCCTCGACCAATACTCTGCCACGCGGTGGACTGAGCGACGGAGCCCTCCTCAGTGGCATGGGCGAGCGAAACATACTGTCTGTCGCGGCCGACGCGTGGGGTGAAGGCTGAGGGCTGCGACCGAGCTCGGACAATGGGACAGTAAATTTATCCGACTTGACTAGTGGCCGATCTGCAGAATTATCGCCCTCGCGGACGAAAGAGTCCTGCGTGTCTGATCGAGAAAGCGGTCGAGAGGTGGGTTTATAACGTGAAGGCATGTAGGTCGGTTTATGAGGGGTGGTACGAAGAGGTCTGCTCGAACTTCCGGCGGTGGCTTTGGCTTGAGGGGATTGAAATGTGACTGCCACTGATGCCTTTTTGCCCGTTGTCTGCATGGAGAATGAATGAGTAGCACGACACAAAGGTTATGAAGTGCTTACTTTGGCCACCGGTGTACGTCCAGCACGATTGTCTTCAACCTGTGCTTTGGCAGGCCCATGTTTGAATGCAGGAACGTGTGGAGAGTTGGATCTAGAGACCGGAGATGGAATGGACTGTGCATGATCTTTGCTTGACTTTGCGGCGCCTATATTCTCCTTTTGGGAACCCTCGTGGGCCTGTTCATCCTCGTCATCATTCTGGGATTGCGTCTGAGTGGAAGCGAGGCCGTGAAAATGGTATTGAGGGAGGGTGTGGGAAGTGCGGGAGGAAGGAAGAGAGTCAACGGAAATCTCGTTAGTGTGGACGAAGGGCCCCTTCAAGACGGAGGAACGCGTTTCAGTGAGCTTCTTGCTTGAGTTGCCGTCGGTATCCATGAGTTCATCGAGCAATTGCGTCGCCTGGAACGAGCTAGTGTCGCTGATAGGCAGGTTGGCATCAGTTGAAGGCTGTTCGACTGCGGCCATAAAGGACGAGCATACCTGGCTTCCGACGCGTCCATCATCTGCTTGTAGGTGTAGTACGCGTCAAAGTCGCTGGGGGATGAGAGTGTATTGTAGGCTGTGGTGGCGAAAAAGAAGGGGGCGAAAATATTTGGTTGGGTCTGGATGGGGGTGTACGTAAAGAATAGAATTGAAGTGAGGGGCGGTGATATTTGGCGATGGAGCACTAAGCGCCGCGTGCCCTGCGCAAGAGTAGTGTCAGAGGGCTGTGGGCACAAAGTACGGGGTGTGCGACGCGCGCAACAATGAAGCTTGTCGTCCACAACTTGAACAGAGCCTACAATGAAATGAACCCTATATGTGGCTCACGTAATGACTGCTAATCAGCTATCACGTGGCCTGCGCGTCTGTTCCGGGACTCTGGCTCCCGCTCTCCGCCCATCCTTATCTCCGTCTCTCATCTCTGTCCGAGTCGCTCGTTACACATCTGCGCAGGTCGCCACAGTAAACGGCGCTCTCTCAAACTTCTCCTCTTTCTGTATATCTTGATTGCTCGCTGGGAACCCTGGACTGCCATGCCTTCGCGTCGTCGGACTCGACGTGCACCACGCTCTACACGCGTCTACTCACGTGCAAAGCGTTCTTCCCGCCCAAAGCCCAAGGTCAAGGTCTCTCACAAACCCAGGCTCGTGCGCCGCTATGTACGGCGGAAGCAGGACGACTCCAAGGCTCATTCTAGCAAGCACTCCAGCCCTCCGAATCTCTCGGGCCAGGATAAACCGAGGATATCCAACCCCGCCCTGAAGTCTGCTGGCTCCAACCCGCCCAACAACGCTTATTCCAACGGAAAAACTGTCAACCAACACCCTGCAGTCGACGAAATCACTGCTGTCCCGAATCCCACTCCTGATACCGGGATCACCCCAACGACTGCTCTAGGTGCTGGCTATCCTCTTTTCGGTGCTCTCAGCGAAACTTCTACGTCAGGTCTAATCATCCCGTCTACTTCAAGCTCGAATTCGTCTCATTCGCCTACACCACCTATCTCGTTTTCTGCTCTTCCTCCACTGCCGTCGCGAGCTCCATCGTCTACTGTCTCAGGAGAGAATCGGGAAGTCTCTTCGTCTGCTTTCCTTCCTATTGAAACTAGTCCTCCTAATTCTAGGCCTCAGGCTAATGCTGCTCAGGCACACCAGGTTAATGTCGCAGTGATCGTTCTTCTGGCGGTTGGGTCGGCTCTTCTCTTACTGGGAGCCTGTATAATGATCAAGATGTGTACGAGACCTAGGCGCCAACCTCGCCCGACGCCTTCTCTTCCTATTCTCAAGGACGTCGAGGCCGATGAGGACTTCTTTGAGACTCAAGAGTCACCCATATTTGGCGGCAAAGAACGTCTATCACCGATGCCGGGCGTAGGTGGACCAACATGGGCTTGGGTTCAATACCCGAATCCCAGGTCCAGCCAGAGTCTTGCGCCTCCCCAACAAGAGTATCACACAGCGTCTCGACCTGTCCCGGAACTACAGACTGCATCTATTCCACAAAGTACTACCAACCAAATGTATGCCAACCTACCAGCCCAACCAGCTATCCAGCCTATTCCAACAGCAGTCCTGCATTCGACCAAAAGACAATCTATCGCTTCGATGTACTCTCCTGTCACCAACCCTAAACGCTCCTCCATGCGGCAAGATACGGTGCTGACCGCGGACGGCCACGATTTTCTGAAGCGCTCCAAATCCAAGAATTCTCCGCGACGAAGTCAGCTGGGACTTGACGAGAAGCAAAATCGGGATTCACTGGTCTCCTGCGCTGGGCTCGCATATGACGGAGGGGAGGCTGACTCTCCGGGCCCAGGCGAATATGTCCACACGCAGCAAACACCCGTTCTGAGCCAAAGCTTCGAAGGAAGGGCGAGGATCAGATCTGGCTACTTCGCAGCCGGAACATATCCTCGTATCTCGACTCTTCCTAGTGCATCATACTCGATAGCCACAGCGACCAGGATCAACGTTGGTCAGAGGAACTCCTTCTCCAAGGACAAACTAGCTCTGCAGAAGAGGCAGAGAGACACGGAGGCACTGGCATACGCTCTGGGACTGGCATCTCCAAGGACTGAGTATGTTGCCTCCAGCCCTCAGCCGACGTTGTATCCAGACGACTCGATGTCCGTTGTTGACACAGCGAAACGACACAAGAAGCGGAACCTGAGCGAGAGACGCGCTATCGAGGCAGTTCCGGACGTGCCAGTAATCGTGCCAACCGAGAAGGCTACGAGCTCATTCATGACCATGGAGTTCGGGGTGAGCCAGATGTCGTTGTCAGCATTGGCTCTCGAACCTGCATCTGAGGGAGGGACCGGCCGTATGGACGGTCATAGGGAGCCCGATAGAATGGACGCGCAGTTTAATGCGGCGAGCCAACCACCTTCGTCGCGTCATGCGGACAAGCCTCCCCGTGTCCCGTCGCCGCCACCGCTTCTTTCGTTGACGCAGATGGGGCTCCAGCAGCACAACCCCGAGGCGTTTGCAAGCTACAGAAGTCCGACGTATAGTTTGTACGGGTTGTACGAGGGGCCAGACAGAAAGAGTTTTGTGCGGTGAATGGCACATCGTCGCTAGTACTCTGTAGCACAAATCTAGAACATACTATGAATTCGAATCCTTTAAATGGAGGGTTCAAGATAGAGGGCGCTTCTGGCCGGTGTGAGACGAAGTGCTCGAACGTGATTGACAGGGTAGGGCATACCATCGCCTTCATCCCAACGCGTTCTATGCTCTTAAAATCTCAACTCATCAGCGGGGTCTTTGTGTCCTGCAAGAAGAGAGCCAACGTAAGAACCACGTCAAAGGAAAAACTGAAAAAAGCAAAAGCAGAGCAAATAAACGCACGTCCTGCCATCCCAAACATGAGCATCGCCGCGTTGACTCGCTCGGCGCCAGAAAGACTTCCATCACCTGTGCGCTGGATGACAGTCCTCATCTCGGCGTGGGTCAACCCGTTGATGAGCCCATCGTCATTTTCGGAACTGGATTCGTCGCTTTCATGGTCTTCCCCACCGTAGTCGTTGCGTTGATGGACACTGCTAGGACCTGCACTCGCGATGAACTGGACAGAGCCCTCAGGGTCCTCAAAATCCGCCGCGGCACTATGGTTGCTCGAGTTCAGGTGTTCTTCGACATTATCCACACCGGATGACGTGCCAGTGGGGAAGTCGTTGGTCGTTGGTGTCAAGGGTTTGTCGAGAATTCCGGGTCACAAACTTCCACTGAAGATGGTTGAGGCACACGAAGCCCAGGAGGAACATAAAATATTTTCTCTATGACCCTTGAAGTCAAGTCGTAATAATTGAAGTTGATGGCGTTCTGCAAAATCTTAGCCAGAGGCGGGGTCCATGTGTACCATTATCTCCGTACTTGGCTTGCCAACGATTAGCAAAATCATGTAACTTGTTGTAAGAATTGACGAGCAGGGCGAAGATAGACAGCTTCTCCCCGGGATCACGGTTGTCCTGGATGACAACTTCCAGAGCGTTGTCTTGATCGTCCGCAAATTCAAGGCGCTGGGAACGGTGATAGTTTTTCCATTGTCGGTAATTTGTTGACTGATTATCGACACCACCTCCAGGTGCAAGGTGGCGGTGATGATTCGGGAGGACGGAAATGGGTCGCCCGTTGAAGAGGAAAGAGGTGGACAGGATAAGGACACTGAGCTTGTTCACAACATATGGAGGCTGGGTGTTCTGACGAGGACTATGAATATGGACGAAGCGAAACGGACTCTGACGGAGAAAGAAGCGGTGGCGCACATCTAAATCACGCTTCGCAGTAGGATTTGTCTTCACCCTTTCGGCCCACTCTTTGTTGTCGGATTTGAGCTTTTGATCAAGTGCCTTGAGCTGCTGCTCAGGTACCGTTGTAAGCACCGTAAGGCATATTGTTCGAGGTCTATTTGGAAAGACGGCTCCACTAGACCGGTTCAGAGTTGGTTCAGAGAGGAAAGCATGAGAAGCGAAAGAAGAGGAAACATACAAAGGATGGCATTCGCAGGTCCGTTGAGCCCTAACACAGCATCCTTTCCTGAGAACTCCTGGCGTTTGCAGACGAGTTCCTGCAGGTTCCTGCACGGTCTGGATCAGCATGACGATTGAGATGATGGGGGGTCACGCGTACGATGTCCTCGCGCACTTGGGCTTTTTCGGGATTCTTTGAACAGTGTCGTATGTCATTAATGAGATGCACTGCTTGAAGGTGCGCGGCGGGGGTGCCAGTGACTATCGAGCGCTGGTCTGTCCACAGGAGACGGTTGCGCAGGAGAGTGTGTGACTTGTAAGCAGTTTTGGGAGAAAAGCTCGGAGGTGGTGCCGACGTCGAGCCAGGATGAGTCGCAGTACTAAGTAGTGGTAAGAAGGGGATTGCAGGGCAGCTTCTTAGCGGCGAGTAGGCGAATCACTTGTGTTTGTGAGCTCTGGGGTACTTCCAGATTCGACATGATGGTATTAGACTGAGTTGTTCGTCAAGCGCCCGCATTTCGCGTCGAGTGCATGAGTCCATATCGACGACAAAGTTGTATTTCGACTCCTGTTTTTCTCGATTGTTCCCCTGGATTTTTACATACCTGACTGTGGGTGTCCTGAGCCCGGTGTTGTTATCAGTATTGGCTCTCGAACTTGTATCTGAGGGAGGGACTGGCCGTGTGGACGGTCATAGGAAGCCCGATAAAATGGACGCGCAGTAAGGCTATCGTCTTTGTCGCGTCATTCGGATAAGCCACCCCGCATCCCATCGCCGCTTCTTTCGCTAAGTCTAGGAGAGGCCCGATAGATGGAAATAAATTTGTTCAGTGAAGGACTCGGACGTGTTATCGCTACCTCAAACAGAATGTGATCATGGGCACATTGAATTGGAGGGCGCTTCTGGCCGGTGTGAGGAGCGCTGGGATGGGATTGATCCCGGGAAGGCTTGGGGCGCACTTGTGGCTGCGCAGCAAAGGCTTGGGAGCCGGCTACGAAATCAAAATATCAACTCCCCCTCGCTTCGTCTCCTCTCCCCCAAGTCCCTCATGTCCTCAGTTCTGCCGCTCCAGCTCAGTATCAACCTCAAGGCAAACGACCATGACCACGACGAGGACGACGTCGAGCTTGCGCTGCCGGCCCCACCCCCCGCCGTCCCGTCGCTATGGGGCGTACCCCTCAAGTACCTCTCGTAAGTCCCTCAGCGCAGGCCAAGATATGGGCGAAGACAGTTCGAGCTGTCCAACTCACCCTTCTCCTGCAGACTTGTGACCTTGGCAGTCCAAAATTCCGCCCTTACCATCATCATGCACTATTCTCGCGTCTCAACACCCGCATCACGTACATACTCTGCAGCAACCGCTGTTCTAATGAACGAAATACTCAAAGGATTCATCTCACTTATGATCGCATACTCGCGGATAGACGTACCGTCACCCTCATACGAGTCGGGCCCCGTGAAAAACTCCTTGCTACGCATACGAAAATTGTGGAAAGATGTGTTGAGCCCGGATTGTTGGAAGCTTTCTATCCCCGCTATCCTATATGGCAAGTGCCTCCATTCTTCACCACTCACTTTCGTTTGAATCTAACCCGCCCTCTTCAAGTCATCCAAAATAATCTGCAATATGTCGCTGCGTCGAACCTGGAGGCAGCGACGTTCCAAGTCACGTACCAGATGAAGATCCTCACCACTGCCGCGTTCTCAGTCGTCCTACTGCGCAGAAAGCTGTATCCCAGCCAATGGATATCCCTCCTCTGCCTTGCTATCGGCGTTGGCATTGTCCAGATTCAAGCCGGTGCGGGCAAACACGATTCGGGCACAACGCTTTCCGATGCTATGGATCCGATGAAGGGGTTCCTGGCCGTGGTAGCCGCGTGTTTCACCTCTGGGCTTGCCGGGGTTTACTTCGAGATGGTCCTCAAGAACTCTTCGGGCGATCTCTGGGTTCGCAACGTCCAGTTATCCCTCTTCTCCCTTCTTCCTGCCCTCGCGCCGATCATGTTCAACGAGGACCTCTACTCTCCCAGCAACGGAGAGGGTTTCATTTCTTCCTTATTCAGAAACTTCGGAGCATGGGCGTGGGCAACGGTGCTTGTCCAAGTGTTGGGCGGCCTCGTCACAGCCATGGTCATCAAATACTCAGACAACATCCTCAAAGGATTCGCCACCAGTCTCAGCATTGTCATTTCCTTCCTCGCGTCCGTTGCGCTGTTCGACTTCCAAATGTCCATCACCTTCATCCTCGGCTCTGCTGTCGTCCTTATCGCCACATGGCTCTATAACCAGCAGCCATCACGCGTCAACCTCGCTCCAACAAAAGAACCATGGCTCTGGTTCAAGAACGAGAAGCTAAGAGATCTCGGTTCTCTCCGTTCGCCACCACCCGAGCCCCAATCCCACAGCTTGACTGCGATTTCTTCTACGACCTCCATATCCTCCATGACGTCTTCGTTGATTAACACGCCGTCTCTTTCCGACACGGAGAAGAGGACTTTTATGTGGTAATTTATATACACATTGGACACGTTTCGTTCGACCTTCATGCTTTAGAGAACGCTTTTTTGTTACTTACAGATGGTATCTACACCTTTATTTCACATACCCTGCACGAGACATTTAAACACAACGGTTTTAGGATAGACAGGCATCTGGGGTCGGACCCTGGGCCATAATGAAAACTTGGAATTTATGGTCAAAAATTGATCGCTGAAATATTGATGTCTGCGAACTGTGGATCTGTTTCTTACACCAACCAGGCCAGATGGACTTCAGCAAATGGATTAGATGGTAGTACATGTGTCACAATGTCTTTCTTGCAAAGTTAGAGTGTTCTTACACCTCCTCAACTACTTCGTATATCGTGACTCTAAACCACGTTTAATCGCTATAACGAATCAATCATTGGAATGAGCACGAGTTCCTGAAGAAAATCAGAGGGTCTCACCTTCGCAAGTGTCCTTTGCATCTCCGAAGAGCATCTTCGTTTCCGGCATGTAGAACATGGGGTTTGGTACATCAGCTAAGACAAAGATCGTTTCAATGCAATGAGACAGTGTTTCGACTAAATACACTTGCCGTAGCCACTAGCAAGGCCACGTTTCATCACGATGACTTGCTTGCTCTTCCAGGCGTGGAGGACGGGCATACCCTAACAGCCTCTTCAGACCCAGGTCAACGCGAATGGTAGTGGAATGTCCTTACCGCGATGGCCGAACCTGGCTCCAAAGCAATGGGATTCACGGTGTCGTTAGCACCGATGACAAGGGTGACGTCGGTATCCTTGAAGTCGTCGTTGATCTCGTCCATTTCCAGGACGACTTAAAATAAGCGTATGAGCGCTTCCCGCAGACCAATAAAAGATCAATTCACGTACTATCATACGGAACTGAGGCCTCCGCGAGGAGTACATTGCATTGTCCGGGCATACGGCCAGCAACAGGATGGATGGCGAACTGTCAAACGAACAGCTGCGCTCAGCCACCAGAGATACGAGCGGTCGTTGCAAACCGAAACTTACTCGGACATTGATACCATTGGCGCGCAGCATCGCTGTTATCTCGGATATCGCATACTGAGCCTTCGCCACGGCCATGCCATACCCAACGACCTAGGAAGTTATCATCAATGGCGAGAACACTCCAACCAACGAAGTTGTTCTTCACCAAAATAACACTATCGGCGTTGGTCAGTGCATCCACTGTATCGTCCACTGTTGTCTTCGTAATCGTTCCTTCAATCTTGTGCGCCTCTGCTGCTACTGGCGCGCTGAGTCCTCCAAACAGGACATTGGTAAGAGACCGATTCATAGCAATACACTGTTACGATATGTCAGGGAGAATCTATGCATGGCAAATGTTGATCCGAGCTGCTTACCATAATGTACGAAAGAATTGAGCCACTGACGCCAATTAGAGAACCGACAGACACAAGTAATGGGTTATCCAGCATGAAGCCTGGGCGCATAATATTAATGACAGGGCAGCATTAAATGCAACACATAGCTGACCTTCCGCGACAAGAGCAAAACCTCTGCGAATACGTTAGCAATTTGCAATGGCTGGATGGAGTGTTCTTACGAATAAGCGTTCAAAACAGTGATGACAACGGCTGGAAACACCAAATATTCAATGCTGCTCAATGAAACACCACGAATTGAGACCTACGCATATCAGCACCTCCAATGGCCGCAGTCGTGGTGTAGCCCTTCAAGAAACTGAGAACAGTGCTTGCCCCAAGGTAAGTGGCGGCAATAGCAGGAGTAGCTGTGCCCATTGAGGACAAGAATCCAGCCATAGTGGCACCGTTCGCTGATAGAAGACCGATGTTGATGAGATGCTTGCCTGGAAGAGTCAAAGGCCTGCTCGACATCTTGGCAGCAAGCTTAAGGAAGGCGACAATGGAACCGGTAAAAGTAACACCACCAATGACCACACCGAGGTAGGCGGTCACAGCATGCAGGGTTGAGAGATGGGCAGTGTCCTGCAGGACGCTTCCAACGCTCGTCAACACTGCTGATAGGCCAACGATGGAATGCAGAAGGGCGACGGTCTGAGGAAGTTCTGTTGCTGTTACGCGTCGTCCGATGACTGACCCTATGAGTCCTCCAATGGCGGCAACACCAGCGAACTGAGCAAGAACATCCAGAGGGAAGCCAACGGCGGCCAACGAAGTTAGAACTCCTGAACCAACGCCTAGAATACCGAGAGCATTGCCCTGTCTCGCTGTCGTCTGAGAGGCCAATCCGGAAAGAGAACCTATTGGAAGGTTTGAGGGTATTCGGCTAAAGTATTTACGTCTACGCACCAATGCAAAGAACGCTGCTGGTCAGATAGCCAGCTTGGACAAGGCCTGCCATTCCCGTGCTGGCAGCCGCTAGGAAGCCTCCGGCAAACACAGCGCCTGGAACAGCATACAACCAAGAGTACTCCGGAGGATCAGAAGGGCCTAAGAGCAGTGTCAAGGCAAGATGTCTGGAAGAAGGCGAGACACATACGTTTGAACATATCCAGCATACGCTTCGTGATAATGAAACCACCAGCAACGTTGATAGTGGCCAAAAGGACTGCTGCTGCACCAAGAGCCTGAGGAATAGTTCCAGGTAGATAACCTCCGCCCATAACGAACATGCCCGCAACGCCAACCTAGGCAGATATCAGCATTTCGTCTGCGCGTTCTCCAACTTATGAATCTCACCAAGCCCGAAATAGCATTAGTAACAGACATCAGAGGAGAATGCAAGGCAGGAGCTACACCCCAGACCACTCTAGGCAAATGTTGGCGTACATTGTATGCTGAAGGAATGGAAAAGAATACCTGTAGCCAACAAGACCAGCAAGACCGAAAGTAAAGAAGCTGTCCATGAACGCCGTTCCTGTGGCTTTACCGAGTCCAACGGCGCTACCCATTCCAGCCGTTACTACAGCCACTTCTCGCGATGCCTTTTGCCAGGGAGTGATAGACGTCACGGCCTCTTCAGCCTTTGGTGTCGGAGGAGGCGCGACAGGAGGAGGCATAGCCCGAGGAACGGGTGGCAAGATGCTTCCTCCATGGACAATGAGAGACCCTCTGACAACTTCATCCTTGAGGTCAATCGAGAATTTGCCATCGCCGCCAATGGACAGGAGGAACTTGGTGATGTTGTTGGAGTAAAGGGTGGATGACTGGGTGGGCAACCTCGAAGGAAGATCGGTGTATCCTTAAGGTTTTAACATAAGGGCACGTTGTGGAACGATATACAGCAGGGCTCACCAATGACAGTCACACCATTTTGCACAGTGAGCTTCCCAGGAATCGTGGCCTCGCAATTTCCACCTGCTTCCGCGGCAAGATCAACGACCACGGAACCTTGCTTCATGGCTGCAATCATCTCGTTGGTAATGAGCTTTGGCGCGGGCTTTCCAGGGATCAATGCCTGAAATGGGGGGTTCGTGACATTCGCACTCGTTTCTTTTAGAAACGTACTTACTGTTGTGATTACGATGTCCACTTCCTTGCACTGTTCCAAGAAGAGTGCCATTTCTGCCTCAATGAATTCCTTCGACATGACCTTTGCGTATCCACCAGCGCCATCACCCTCTTCCTTGATATCTACTTCGATGAATTCTGCTCCAAGTGATTGAACCTGTTCCCGCGCAGCCGAACGCGTGTCGAATCCTCTGACGATGGCACCAAGCCTTTTCGCCTAATAAAGGGATAATTAGTCTCCGGAGCAGCGTTCACGAAGAAACGAGGAAGAACAGACAGTCGTAATGGCACTCAGCCCAGCAACACCGGCACCGATGACCAAAACCTTGCATGGGGGTATCTAAGAAAGTCATATCAGGAAAGCTGTATTAACTTCTCTTCAGATGCCCTTTTGACCCACTTTTCTGCAGAGAGGATGAGCATTCGCCGATAGGAATTGTTTGGCACCTACCCAGCTGCTGTAACCTGACCAGTCAAGAATCTACCGAAGTGATTAGAAGCCTCTAAAACAGCCTTGTATCCTGCAATATTTGCCATAGAACTAACAATATATCAATCCTGTTTCTAGTCGAACGTTGAAGAGCGTCATTACCTCAGCGCATCAAAAACTTGAGCACGAGAAATTCTAGGTATCATGTCCATCTTAATTTACGACCATGAGTAGCCTTGTGTAGGCTATTATTAGCGAAAACGTACCGCAAACGCGTTCAGGTTGCGTGCTGCAAGTGTATCGACGATCGCTTTGTTCTGAGCCGGGTAAAGGAACGAGATAACAGTGCTTCCTTCCTTCAGAAGCTCAGCCTCTTGCCCGAGTAGCGGTGGTCTAACTTTGAGCATGATATCCGTTGCCTTGTATAGTTCGTCTCGAGAAACCAAGGTAGCGCCAGCAGCCGCATACTGTTCGTCCAGGAACTGAGATTCGGCGCCAGCATTGCTTTCAACGAGGACATTCGAGAACCCCTTCTTGCGCAACAGGGCGGCATTTTGGGGTGTGAGGGCAACCCGACGCTCGTTCGGGAAGAGCTCGCGCGGGACACCAATGGTGAGCGAGGAGTAGGGGACTCCAGAGC